CTTCATCAATCGCGAGGGTACGTTCAGATTGATATTTCACAGCGTGTGGCTCTTGTTCACGACGATCTTCCGGTGAGGCAGCACGCGATCGTACAGGATGGCTAACGTGCCCGAATACTGGTTGCGAATGTGTTGAGCAAATTACGGATTCATCACCTTGTCGAACTCCAGCGAAATATTGTCGATGGTGTAGCGACCCTCCTCGCCGCTCTCCGTCACAATCACGTGAGTGTAATCGTTAAACGTGAGTTCGTACTCCAGCCTGTCGCCCAGCGCGGCTTGGTAAAACGGCATGTGACCCTCCAGCAACTCGAAGTCAAGCGGGATGCAAAATCAGTTCCCGAACGCCTCGGCGATGGCCACATGTTTTTTCGCCATCGCGGTGAGTTCGGCTTGGTCGAAACCGTACCCCACACGCAACCGAGTCGACGGACACTCAGCCGAACAAATCCCTGGATACTTCATGTTTTCCCATTCGCGTGCGGTTCTCCAGAGGCCCGTGTATAGAACACGGCGCTGTCGTTTCCGCTGATTTTGATGGTCATTTTCTTCACGATGGCACGGCCCAGGTTCCCCACGACTTCTTGCTTATCATCGTCGGATTCCAAACTGATCTGGAAGGACCAGAACCAAGGGTTCTCTCATTTTTCAGTAAGAATCGAGTTTTCGTCCGTATTGCGACGCCTTTTTTTTTTAATATGTTCAATAAATAAATAATCATGGCCGACGATATTCCCATGGATGATTTGGGGGACGATAGAACCCAGTTGCTCGACAATGAGGAGACCTCGTTCGCGCAAGGAAACATGGGCGATGATCTGCTAAAACACCGTCGATGATTATTACGATGCCCTGAAACAAAAAGAAAATATAGCTCTTCTTTATCGCGATCCTTCCAAGTTCGAACTAGATTATAAAGGGATACTGCGAGTGAAAGATGCTCCGGGCATCGATTTCATGCACTCCTGTACGAGAAAACCTCTCGCTTTGTCCACACTGGCCAGTCGCCACGGTGCCGACTTTATCTATATAACCAGCTATCGACAAATAATAAGCGGGAAGTTCGACAAGGCTTTACGAGAAGCGAATGCCGAGCTCGATGCCTCGGCGAGTGCAGTTGGTCGAGATGATTTGAGAGACGTACCACAACGAGCTCAAGACGCACGATGTCAAAAACTATTGATCACGTTCCGGAACGAACGCTTGCCCAGGTTCGAATTTACCTTTCGGGAACTGTGAGGGCTGGACAAGGCCATGCAAACCATTCGCGGATCGCCCATGAACAACGTAGCCAAACTGGACGCGCTCGATGAGCATATCGCTCGTGAAAAAAAACAACTCGACGAAGCAGAGGACGAGTTCAGCCGACATCGGATCACAGAAAGATTGCACAACTTGGAAGGCGAAAGATCTACCCGATTGGAAGTGGCGTCCTCCTTCCAAGATGAGCTTCGATCCAAGATCAGCCGCGTGCGCGAAACCATCGACGGAGTGTTGAACGAGGACATCACGTTAGCCGACAAGATCCGACAATCTGTTTCGGGAACAAGGGATCACCATCGCCAGTGTTCTGACGGCTTTGGGCTTCATCGTATCGACCCTCGCCTTAGAGCTGACGGTCGGTGGTAAGACACCGACACCGACCACCACCCAAAAAAGGTGGCAACGTCAGAGACTGGATAAAAAAACCAGTTGAAATCGCTCGGTGAAGCCCTGGCGAAACTGGCCGGCAAACGGTGACGTGGCTCGGCCAGAACCTGTGGGCAGTCGTCGTCGGCATGGCTGGCCTGGTGTACGTTGCTGCTAAAGAATTGTTAATCAAATGAGGCACACCCCGACCGCGATCCCGCCGACCAAGAGCACCATTTTACGATCAGGTGTTGCTGATGTTCGACCTCCTCGCGTGGTGATAGGCGTGATGGTGATGGTTGAACGCTGGGCTCTGTTGCTGATGGCGGCGTCATGATCCCTGTTTGGGACTCGACTCACGTTGACATCAGGATTGATGCCCAACTTTTGATCGGCGGTCGTGATGACGATTTCATTGTTGTAGCCCACCACTTTGTGGATGCTCAGTCGCATGTCGTTCGGAGCCATGTACAGTCCCACGCTGAACACATAGTCGACTTTGACCGGGCGTATTCCAAAGTGTCCTGGCAACGCCGGATGGCACTCGGTAAATCCACCGGTCCGGCGATGGCGTCCTCGGCATTCAACATGAACTGTTTCTGCGCGTCGTAAGCCGTCCCTTGACCCACGATGCAGGAACGCATTTTCTGTGCGCCAAGCAGCGCCCACACGTACGTTCAAATCGAATCGTTCAGTCTGACAACACCGGGACGAGTAAACCCCTTCGACTTATCCAACATATATACTTTCCAATCGTCTTCAGCATATTGAGGCTGCTCCACCTTTTGAACGGTGAAAGCAACACCGCCTTTAAAATTCATACGATCATCTCGCCATTCATTACTCGACAGAGCAAAGTCCTGTCGGAGCCAACCACTTTTCAGTAAACCGTCACTGACTTCTTTCACGGATTTCGCTCCACTGTACGGAATGCCCAACCCGTGGTTCATACTTAGTATACGCCAATCCGTGTTCGGATTGATTTTGAAATCACCACATATCCATTCGTGAGCTCACCCATCGTATGGATTGTTCGATGCATCCCATGCATCGGGGCGCTGATCTCTTTCAGGATGCGTCTGATCTGGTAATACACGTGGAAATAGAACACGGACTGACTCAGCGCATCACGACGCGTGTCGTTCAAGGTCACGCTGCACCATGTCGTCGCGCACAACACGGCAAAATTGAGTTGATTCTGCCAGAATTGCATCGGGTTGTGAAACCATGCGTAGACTGCCTTGACGTTCGTGACCGAAAGCCTATACTTTTCAAATACATCTATAAATCGAACTTGAAAGTGGGAACCCTCCTTCGCATCCACCACGATTATCATGTGCGTGAGATCGTTAGCGGTGCCGAGATCGCTTTTGGGATAAATCACTCCAGGCTGGTACTTGGGTGTAGCCATATTGAATTATTATTACGTATATATATTTTTTCAATATGTACGTCACGCTCCCAGGAATCACGAACGGCGAACCCGTTCCGCTGCTGCAAGCGACCGATAACACGTCGGGGGAACTCGAAGTCGCGCTCTACGATCTCACCTACTACCCGCGATGGTCGAATATCAGCACTAAGAGAAACAACAACAAGCTGTTTATCGATAATACCCGCCACCTGTTGACCGACGGTTATTATAACGTGTGTATGCTGGACGACGAAATTTTTAAACCCGTCGGAGCCAGTCTTAAACTGAACGAGTCGGATGGCACGCTCAAGTTGACGAACGGAGACCAACCCATCAAACTGGTCCGACCCTTGGCGAGAACACTCGGGTTGACAACTTACGACACCGTAACGGGCTCAAAATTGCCGAGCCTTGTCCCCTACTGCGAACTGTGGATTCACCTCGATCAGCTGAGCACGACGGACAACATTCAAGGCGAACGACCTTCCACACTGCCGAGAGCTGTGCCGGTGAAAACGGAAAAGTACAACGACGGCAGAACTGAATCGTTTTCGACCTTGCAGTACAAGAAATTAATGCGAGGCAACATCACGAAATTGAAACTATCAGTTTTAGATATAAAATAGAAACCCGTTCATATAGGATACCTCAGCGTGACGCTGCACGTCAAACAACGATGACTGAAGCTTCGGGTCCGGGAATGTGACCAAGAAAATGCGCCAACCTAGTGATCTCCGACCTCCGGGACACGCGGGGTTTCGACGAGCCCGGCATCGACGGCAGACTGTACGCCTTGCAACTCAAGAACAACATTTACAAACGCATCAAAGTGAGCGGCGGATCTGGTGGCGGTGGTTGCCTAGGAGATTTAGACGATGTCGAGACCGGAGGTCTCTTAAACAGCACACAGTACAATCTCGTTCGCAACGCCAATAACACATGGGTGATGGTTCCAGCCTTAGGCGGCAAGCTCTTCCACCTGGACGACGTTGAGAAGACGGTCCTCGCTCGAAACACGCCGTACACACCCGTCTTTACCAACGACAACCGATGGGTGTTCGTACCCTCTCGAAATTAACTGGAATCTCAACATCGCAATTTTTTTCAGCGTTCATCGACTAATGTATCGTATTCAGCATTCTTCAAACTACCTACGGGCATCGTGTTTGTATTTTATGAGACATGGATTCGAGGTGAAGAAGCCACCAAACGTGCACAAAGTATTGAAGCGGAAGTGGAATGACGGGTTTCAGACATCCTTTGCGCGCTGCTATAGACGGAGACAGGTTTAAGAGGATGCAATCTCAGGATAGACCCATTAAACTGAGCACTCGGCTATCAGGTCTTCTGTGGCTCAGTCGAACGACTGCTGGGTATGATCAAGGTCCAGAGATGCGCAACTCTGTGACCGAGGTTCGAAGCCAGGTTCGGAAAAAACACACGGAGCTCTCATTCTTTGACTGGCATTCTAAAGGTTGGGTAGATGAAGAACGAGGATTATTTTTATGGATATACAACTTCTTTATTCTGTATAGGCGATGTTTCGACATAGATTCTAATGTTGTTGTCAAGCAAGAAGTCATCTACATCTACCGGACTTCTAGAATGCCGATCACCACTTGCTTGACAACGACATTAGAATCTATGTCAAAACGTCGCCTATACAGAATAAAGCAGTTGTATATCCATAAAAATAGTCCTCATTCTTAATGGTACAAGAATCTGTATCGAAACGTCGCACTCACACAAAAAAAAAGAAGTTGTTATGCATAAAGTTGGTCTATATTGTACTTCCCAACTTCTAAAATGCCACTCAAAGAAGATGTAATAGAGGTATTATTTTAAGAATTTTCCACAATGATAACACCACATCTGCCAACTTTACTGAAAAATAGCACATGACACTAAGCAGTCCACATGTTCAGGGTCTTACTCTATTTCTTTCTTTTGCTTTCAGGCCCAGAAATCTGACATGTCTGCTTGGTTCAATCTGTTTGCTGATCTTGACCCGCTGTCTGACCCTGATGCTGTTGGTAGGCCTGATAAAGAGAGCAATGCAGCATAACGGTCAGCTGACATGAAGAGACTTGACTTTGATCCTGATACTGAAGACTGACATGGCCAAGACTGTTACCAGGCGTGACTGATACAAGTTTGCTCTAGACTAAAGTTTTTGTGAACAATATGTTTTTCTTATGTAGCATGAAGAAATCTGTGAAATAGACATGTTACGTCTGATACATGCTGTTGTTTAATATTTGAAATTGTGGAAATGTTGATCCGTGTCTTCAGTTTCATTTGTGTCCATTCCATCAAAGGTTGTATATTGCTCCATATATATAGTCTATATAGATTATAATTATTGTAATGATGTTTGAGAATCGCAAGTCTGGGCATGTATGTAGTTACATCACAATGTGGTTTTTGTTCTGGTTATGTATTGTACATGTTATCAAAAGAAGAAGTTTGTATGAACAGCATGAGCAGAGCAACCTATTCTCAAGTAAAATAAAGGTAAAGTGGGCCCTTAGCAATACTGGTTACACAAATGTTTCATGTAATTTGCCTACATGGATATGTCCTTGTGTTTGTGCACAGTACTAGGCATCAGTCCCTGTCACCACAGCCACCTTTATAAGATTGTTTGAATGCAGTTTGTATTCAGCCCTATGATTTGAGACTTGCAGTGTACAGTTGTCAGGCTGCTGTGGCTACCTACAAGACTGCTGCAAACCAACCTTTAACCAGAGGAAAACCTGTGAGGGATATTTCTGTAATTAAACTACTGTATATTTCTTGACAATAGTCAGGGAAGGAATATGGCAAGTCTGTAAGTTGTGTATAATTTACAGCAAGAATGTGTCAAATGTTCTTAATATGAAGAACTGATACTTTTCCCACAAGGAAGGATTTGAAGATGCCAGATAACCTGTTGCTCTCTTTCAGGTAATTGTAGTTATGATGAATGGTGTCAGTGGAAGTTTTTTCTTGTGTCTGTACATATGTCCATGTCATGTAGTGATTCATACCTTACAGGTTTTAATTCATTAGCACAGCATGATAAGAGTGAAAGACCAGGAATTCACTTCTTTCTGTTGGTAAACTTAATGTTTTAATTTATTACTTGAATGAATGCAGTACATTTTGAACATGTTCAGTACAATATTCTTGCTGTTTGGAGTATTTACCAATTCCACTGATAACTCCACATCATAAACAGAGCAGAGATTTTTATCCTTCAAGCTCAAAGATTGATGTGAGCTTATGAGATGTGTTGTGTATCCATCATACATATTTTGATTCCTCTGAAACAACAAGGACTATGATGCTAAAAGTAATGGGGTTTCTCAATACACTTATGACTTCAATCATAGCCTGTGGCAGCCTCATTGAAAATGTCATACTGGCCAAAAGCCATTTCTGCAAGATTTAAAGTTTGTAGGAGCTGTATAATGTTTAGCTGAATCTTTTTCACAATTCAGTCTATAATGTTGCAAATATGACAAAATATACTCAAAGGCAAAGGTTATTGTGACACACAAATAACTGTCATGAATGAAATGTTATTACATGGAAAGAAAAATGTTTCAAGGTTGGAAATGATCAACAGTCCAAAAGACCAGTGCACAAGCATGTGGCACATCATGTGCATTGATACAGACCTGGAACCTTTGTTCCATTAGCCACTAAATGTCGAAAGTCCTGAGGAAGATCATTCCATATCGGTGGAAGAATTTGGCACAGTTGCTGCAGTATTTTTGGATGATTTGGTTGATTTCGTAAACTTCGCACCATTTCATCCCAGGTATGTTTAATGTCATGGCTCTGTGGAGAGGGAAACAGAAAACTCCACTCACATGCTCCACCATTGCAAGTGTTGTCTGCTCCACTGTAGATGATCTGGCTGAGTGTCTTGTACAGAAGTCGTACACAGACTGAAGCATATCTATATTTCTCCATGTGCCATTTTCCCAGAGGCATGGCATGTCAAACTTGTTCCAGAACGATGAATAGAGGTGTTTTTGTGACTTCTTCACTTCTTTAGACAGCATTTAGTGGAAATGGTAAGCATCTGGTTGTCTGACCTTTTCAAAATAACATTGCAGGCATATTTTCTCAAATATGCCATGCTGCTCAGAAATTATGGCAACAAATGCTTGGTTGCGTTTGACAATTGTAACACACTCTCCTCTAGTTCCAATACAAAAATTCATTCACCAGGTTACCAATGAAAAGGTCTTTGTCACAATAACTTTTGTCTCTGAGTATAAAAAGATCTGCAGAACCTCAGGGCTGTATGTTGTTGGTACATCACTGATGTGATGACTTTGTCTTAAATATTGATTGACAGAGCATCCAGCTGAAAACTTCATAGTGTATAGTTACAGGTGGAAGTCCAAACCCTTCAAGAGGCTGTGGAACAAAGAATATGACATCAATAAGATTTTTGTGGGCCTTGAAGTTCAAGTTCACACATTAAGTTATATTTGTGATGTAAAATTTGAATAGACTTTCATTCCCACTTGCATTATGATCTGTCTGACAAAGCTAGCTTGCTGGGCATGGTTGGTCTGGCCATTTTGGCTCTGTTGGACCTCATGTCCTGTGTCAGTTCCTCACCCATCGGTTTGTCTGTTAACAGAGATCTTTATATATCTCTACACTCAATGATCACAAATACCTTTGCCATATTTTCCAAACACATTTTATGTATCAGTTATTTATAAAAGTATTTAATTAGCAAAAACACAAAAATAGCTGCCACAACTGAACACTTCAGTGACAAAATCCTACAACAGGCTCATGTTATTCAACATCAACAGAAAGAAATGTAGTTTACAAGGAGAAGGGGGACTTTTGGTGAGAAATAAGACATGCAAGTTTTCATGTCTTCATGTACAATATTCACAGGTCATAACGACGAGTGTGTTAGCAAAATTAAAATAAAAATGAGTCTGCCGATATTGATGTTCAATAACATTGCTGTATTCTGATACAGAGTGGCCCTTACCTTTGTAAACCCTGTCATTGTAATCCAGTTCTAGCCTTGTGTGTATTTTGTTGTTTGTTGTTTATCTATACACAATGTCACAGGAATATGGACAAATCGAGTCTGAACCATACAGTCATGTGCTTCGACCTTTGCAATTGAGATACGATGACATGTGGCTACCGAGTCTGTCCAATCTCATTGGTCACCTTTTACGACAAGTATTAGTTGCTGAGGACAAATTCTAACCCAGATCTTCATCGGTCTTGTGTGTATCTACATATACAGTGTATGAAATAAGGCCCGTCCGACCGCCAGAGACGGTCTAGATTTCTGACGGATGGTCTGAATTTACAGCTAGCCAGCCCGATGGTCTGGTAAAGTTTTTTAGATGTTCCATACATCTGAGTAAATTCGCCATATTTGGTCTGGTTAAATCCATTTTGGGCTGGTAACATTTTGAAGTTACCAGCCCTGATGTCTGGCTGGGTTTTGGCTTATTTAATACACTGACATATAACAAAGCAAGTCAATTGAGAATCATCTTCCTTGCTAAATTGGTAATTGGGACTGACATATACGGTGGAATCCAGATTCGAAAAAGGGACAAAGCTATATATGCCTGCTGCTCAACCATTATTTTGGTGATGTACACACAATGCTCCCGCTTTCTTCATACTGTAAATGTTTCTCATAAACTGTGGTACAAAGAAAGCTGAACTTTGAGATCTGTTTCTCTTTATGATGACTTCATGTTTTGTTCAAATCAGGATTTTATAGAATAAAAATGTTTGTTATCATGAAATTGTTACCTTAGAAGGTAAGCAAGGCTGAGTTTTGAAACTTTTCATGAAGTAAATGTAACTGTCATGCAAATCAGCAGTGTGTCATACTTGTTTAATACTTGTTAAAATGTTGTGCTCAGTATTTATGGAGAAGATATTTAAATAGCATTCCTGACAGCAACTATAATTGTTAAGTATTTCTTTGTTAGCTGTGGAGCTGTGGCACAATTTTGGTAATTATATATTTTTTGCGTCTTTAGTCTTTAAGTTTGATATAGCTGGAATATTGCTGAAAGCTCTCTCAATCACTCATTAAAAAAGCAGCCTTCAAGTGGGCTTTAGTTATTGACAGGACCACTCTCACAAACAGCAGTGATAAAGCAATCTCATCACTTCCTTCCAGCTCAATATCTCATCTGCAATCTGTTTGAATCTCAGTATTATTGTATTTAGTTTGTGCACTTCAATTTAGTTTTAGTATCATTTCCTATTTATTTGATATTTTGTAAACATATACAAATGTCACCCATTGTTTTAAAGTATTTTGCAACTTCAGGTCCAAACTGTTCTTTCACTTTGGTTTCTAGAGTTTGTACCAAGTGTCCCAGGGCTAACGTAGTGTAAATGGGTTCATTATGACAATGGTCCCACCTTTGTTGGCCCTTTGATAACTGTGATTTTTTCATTAAACATATCTTCAACTGGATTCCCTTCTTGATAAGAAATGTTTGATTTTTTTAGGAACACTAGGAATGGAGTCAATATATCTGTCAAGATCGCAATTCCTACCTTTATTTGGAATCTAATAAGTTTTATTCTTAACTTTATCCTCAACATTGTCTGAGCCATCAAAATACTCAATATTCAGTGGTAGGCAATTAGGCAAAACTGTCATCTCTCTGAAGATAAAGTGGAAACTTTGACATTATTTTGTTGATTTCTTTATGTATGTACTACTCTACACTACCGAACTTTTGAGTATACATCAAAGTGTGTTGATACCAGGAATATTCTTAATCATATTAGGCATGTAAACCATAAGAACCTGTCCGTCACTGGACATGATACTCCCTCCCTCCTCTCTCTTACTCTCATTCACTCACTCACTCACTATGTTCTATCCAATGAAGTGTATATTCCAGATGGCAGGCTTCATCATTGTGTTGTTTGTGTCTATGCTTGTAACAGTACACTTCTTTGTACATACATTCTAGTCAGCTGTAGTGGAGGTTAGCAGTGTATCAATGAAATAATGATTCTGTTTTGACATGTTAATGATATAGTGGTATTAACATGTGCCACACTTTTGCTTTATATTTCAGATGTCTTAGGTGGTAGATTTTCCCTCCAAGTCAGATTTTATTTGTTGGTGATAAAATATATCTTACAGAACTGATTGTCAGTTGTGATTTTTATTACTTTAGTTGCAAATGCAATGTCTTTTAATCTTTTGATTAATCTTTTTGGGCCCTAATCATGCTGGATTAGTCTACAACTGTTCAAGAAGTTACCACCAAAAGCCTAAAAAATTAAGAATTTCTACTCTGCTGAATGCATTAAATACATTCTTGAAAACTAATGATATATTTAAAACATATCCTATCTCATGCTATGCACTTTATTTTATTTGTTCAACGATGGAGTGGAGGGGCTGGCTCTTTAAACACCTCACCCAAACACATCCCAGCTCCATCTTTTGTTATATGGGGGCGTGGTGGGCTAGCTGGCTAAGGAGCCAGGTTAGTAATCCAGTGAGCTTGACGTGCCGGGATCGAGCCCACCTGTGACGGGGTGTAAAAACCTTGGAGTCAACTTTGTGTGCAGACTCTTTCAGTGTTGTCACAACCCCTAGTGTACAGTACACAGCCCTGTGCACTTAAAAGAACCCGCGAATCCGTTGGTATATGACCAGATGGTGGTCACATGAATACGTGCAAACACCTAGTTGCGGGTACACCAACGTGTAGTAAACTTGGACAAAGTACTGTAACTATGTGTCTCGGTCCACCCAGCTGTGAATGGGTACCTCGTATGGATGGGAAAGCCACATTAACTCGGTGCGCCTAGTGGCTGCAAGAGTTGTATGCTCCCCCAAGGAGTTGAAATTGATAATATGAAGTGCAGTCTAGACTGACATCCTGTGATCAAGGGAAAAACAAAGCACCTGTGAGCAGCCTAGCTGGAACTCGGCGCTATATAAATAGATTATAATAATAAGGCAGTTGCATGTAGCTCATGCAAAACATGCATAAAGATGAATTATTAATGACATGGACAACCAGAAAAGGAAAGATGTAAATGCACCTTTCCCTCCTTTGATTGCTACCCGTGAAGGTCCGGGTTAGAATACTGATCTTCAGTAACCCATGCTTGTCATAAGAGGCAACTAATGGGATCGGGTGGTCAGGCTCGCTGACTTGGTTGACACATGTCATCTGTTCCCAATTGTGCAGATCGATGCTCAGGTTGTTGATCACTGGATTGTCTGGTCCAGACTTGATTATTTACAGACCGCCGCCATATAGCTGGATTATTGCTGAGTGCGACGTATAACTAAACTCACTCACTCCTTTGATATGTGGACTGGGATAAATGTTCATCTGCCTTCACTCCATCTGCTCTTCCTACCTTGTATATCCCTCAGATGTCTTCTCTTGGATCAGCTGCTGCATCATCCTTCCCTTCATTACCCTTTGCCTCAGGATCATCAATCCCTCCTGGATCATTTATCTTTTCTTCTTCAATGGCCTCACTGCCGTATCGACCTTCGTCCTTGCCTTAATTTTCAACTACTTTGCAGCATGGGATCTCCGATGATCCGTGGACCCCAAATGGTTGATCCCTCGGCAACCTACAATTCCCTTGAATCATGGATCACAGGATCACCTGAGGCGTCACCACAAAACCTGAACTTTCAAGACCTTGTACAGGCATTGTCTTTGAATGTACAACAGTCTCTTTTCATTGATCTCATATCCCGCCTCGTGCCTCCTCCAACGTGCTGATCGGGATGCTGAGTTTTGTTGCTGGCTAAAGACAACTCTACTTCTAACGCCAGCATCATGAGCAACAGTCCCTCTCTGATTCTCTTTTGGATCATGGATCAACTTCATCTTCCAAAGAGATCCTCATCTGCTGACTGGACTATGACCTTTCATATGAAGGAAAAGGATATCAACAGTATTACGTTGCATAAGCACATAATTTCACGGCTTTCGTCTTCACTAGATGCTGTCTTTGGAGAGCTCCAGAGGGTCTGGGATGGGTTAGTCACTCTATGTTCTCTACTGAAGATTCACTTGTTCATAGATTTGACTCCTTGATTGCATCACCTCAACTAGATGTGGACATGCAGACGCTCTGTCCTAAAGAGAACCACACCCCTGTTAGAAGAAGACAGAGAACTGATTCATTTGGATATCGCCATTCATTGCACACTACTGGCTTTTGAAGTAATTCTGCCTGCATCCGAACCCATTGCCATATCTGTTGCTGTTGATTTTGTTTGTGTTTTGTTTGTTGTTTAACGCCACACTGGGCAGCATGACAAATATTGGGGCTTGACAAGTAACCAACACTGTCGAATTCTGCAGACTGGGAAGAAGGCATGTAATAACACATGGATACCTAAGTTTACAACACTCGGTTAGGCACAAGAACAGCGTTTTGAACTAATATACTGCACTTGTAAGACGTCTTGCACAGGTCTTTGTAATGTTACAAAGCTTGTCTTAAGTGCACTGCTTTGTGTCACTGTGAAGGAAAGCTTTTTCCAGTGACTGAATTTTGAAACTGTAGAAACATGTATTGAGCGGATATTTCTGCTCATACCTCAAATAAAGTAAGGTGGTTTCTCAGGTTCAGCTTTATGGATCTGATATTAACATTATTTACGTATGCATTCCAAATTGTAAGAAAAGAAACCATTCCTCCATGTTTGTGGAAATTTCATCACAAGATTATGTACATGTCAACTTGTCTTATGTTGTGTATCCTGGGTTTATAATATAACAATCGTTTATTTGCAGTTTAGTTCTGAAAGATATATCTGTATTAAATTCTCTGAAAGTTTGCATTTGTAAAATTCTAGCCGGAATACTGCTTACATTATGAGCCATAATATCTATGGATCATACACAAGGGTGCACAAATATTACATTCAT